CCCGGCTGCGGCGGCCCCAAGGAGTGCTTACCGCAGTGTGCGCGAAGCCGAGCGGGGTACTTGTGTTCCTTGCCGACCCGATAAGCGAGGGCGAGGCAGGTTTCAAAGATCCTGCAAATGCAGTGGAAGCGACCCGCGCGCCGCAGCGGAGCCCGTTTTCCGTGGGTCCCCAGCCGACCTTGGCTGGGTGAACTGAGCCTCTACCCGGGGTCCAGTGTTGACAGATACGGGCCGACCTGGAGAGAGCCCCACGTTCCCAGCCTGGGAGACGCAGCAGCGGGGGGAGCGTCATTCCAAGACTCGGAGAGAAGCCCTGAGCTCGCCGCCACCAGTGAGAGGCCGCCCCGTGCGGCCCAGCCCAGGGCTCTCTCCCAAGGCTTGACTTGGGTGTGCGGCCAGGTGGTCCTCACCGCCCTGGTTCAAGCGGCCTGCCCCACGGATGCCCAAGTGGAGAGTGCCTCACACCCTCGAACTGCTGGAGCCCTGGGCTCAGGAATAGGAGACCAAGACTACTCCTCCCCCCTGGCCGCAGTCTCCTCATCTGTACCATGACCAGGTGAGTGCAGAGGCCATTCCCGCAGCTGGGCCTCACTTACGCCCACCGCCCACTCTGCCAGCAAGAAATGAAGATCAGTAGAGAAGGAAATGCAGGGTCCTGGGAGCTTCAGTGCGTGGCTCATAAATCCTTCGAGGGCATCTCCTCCCCTTTACCTCACGACTGCCTCGGGGTCACCTCTGGGCCTGGGAGAGGCTTGTGAGCTACACTCTGGGCACGGAGAGAGAGCTCTCGGGGCCCCCAAAACGAGCCCTGGTGGCCAAGGGCTTGCCTCCCTGCTCCTGGTCCCCAACCCAAACCCAAAAACCTGGGCGGGGTACTGGTCAGGGTTGGCCCAGTGGGAAATTATTGATAATTATAAACCTGAGGTGGGTGGAGAGGGCGATGCCAAGAAAAGATGCCCATTGATTAATGGGCAGAAGCGAGTTTCTCAAAAATTGAGAATGTGCTGGGGCCTCAGAGCCTGTGCCCGGGCCTCAGGGAATGTGTGCCCCTGTGGTCCTCCCACCATACATACGCTCCTCACTCTCAGGGTGCGGTGGGAGCGGATAAGTCAAGACCTGAGGCTTCGTGACTTAAGTGCAGCCAGGCCAGGGATGGCTCGGGGGCCGGGCTCCAGGTGAGTGGGCAACTGGTGGGAGGACCAGTGCTTCCTGGCCCCACATACTTGAGATGCTTTCCCAAACTTTGAGAAGCATTCCCTGCCTGCCTCTTTCTTGCCTGGCGTCAGCTCGCCAAGGCGTTTGACGTGTTTGCTTTTTGACATAGGTATGTAAGGAAGGGGGTGGCATGTTTCAGGGAGTATGGAAGGCGGGCAGCCGCACTCAGGAGGGCCACTGAGCCTGGGAAGATGCCACGCCCTTGCCCGTGGGAGCCTTCCCCCTGCCTCCTGTGCGACATTCTTGCTCTACAGCAAAAGCAGAAAGATGGAGCTTGTGTAGAGTCTGATTTCTGAGTGTGTCTCTCTGGCGCCAAGGTTTTTCCAGTGTCAGGTGGGCGTCCTGGGGCTGGGAGCATGTGGAAATGGAGGGCAGGAGGAGGGTTGGCAGACTGACAAGCTCACAGGTCTCTTTTAGGAAAGGGAGTCAGGGAGCACTGGGAGGGCCTCTCCCCTCCTCAGCCTGGGGTGCAGCTTTGTACTCAGTCTATATGCCCACCCAGGGTGTGAGGTCAGGAGGTCAGAGAAGGCCCTCTGACCTCTGACTCTGTGGCACTTGGCCCTGGGCCTCACCTCCCCAGCTGCCCGCTGGGGTGCTCTCTGCCTCCCTCCATGTTATTTTACATGAAAGCTCCCCAACAGAGCCTTCTCTGGAAGCTGACTCCATATGGCCAGCTTGGGCCCCACACACAGGCCAGCTGAGGGTTCCTGGGGCCTCAGGCAGCCATCACAAGCTCTCTGGGCCCCGCTCTCAGCTGAGAAACCGGTCACCAAACATGTTATTGTGAGGCTCTGTGAATCTAACACACATCGGCAAGTGCTTCGTAGCACACAGTCCACAGTGAGGACTCACTGTCAGCTCTTAGGACTCACCGTGTAAGACAAGAAAAGAGATTGGGATTCTTCTGTCTCAGCAAACTGCATATGTCAGGGAGAACGGCCCTGTTTAGACCCTTGCAATCATTTCTGGTAACAAGGCGAGGTCAGAAGAAATCAGGAATTTGGAAACTCCTGCCCTGCTCTCTGGGCTTCACTCAGCACCAGCTGACCCCCAACAGTTACCTTCATGGTCCACATCGCCCAAGAGAAACAGCAGAAGACCTGTTTGATGTCCTGTCTCAGCAGGAGATGGGGGCAGAGGGCGAGAGGGGTTGGTAGGATGGTGAGGACCAGCTCCCAGCATAGCTTTGTCTCCAGAGGGCCTTTCCCTCTGTCTGCTCCAGACACATCTCCCTGAGCCTCTGCAGACACCGGGATGTCAGCCCTCTTTGGAGGAAGCTGCATGAGTTCTGGTCCCTGTCTGTTCTCCGCCTCCACTGTCTTGGGTGTTTGTTGCCCATTCTCAGTGTCACCATCTGTGAAATGGGCGACTCTGTCACCCCATCTTTCATGGATGTTCTCAAGAGCACTTTCACAGGGCCCCAATCCACACACACACACAGTAGCTCTTCCAATGGGGCTGTCTCCCTGCTCCTGCAGCACTTCCTTGCCTCAGTTTCCTGGTCTGCAGAGTGGGAATGATAAAGATCTCTGTTGCATAGGATTGCTGGAGGATGGACCAGCTTAACCCAGGAAAGCACGGAGGGTATCGCCCAGGACATTTCAGTCATTCATATCCTCCTCCTCCTCGCCTCCCCTTCAACGTCTTTAGGCAGTCGGTAAGCTGAGCTGGCTAAGTCTGGCGTCTGTCCACACTTTTCTCAAACAAACTGCACATACTGCATAATCATTTATTTATATGCATATATTCATATATGTGTATCACATATATTCATATATATTCACACTTGGAAAAGCGATGCAGATATTTGGACATGACACAGATCATCATTAAGGTGAGCATCTGCGTTTTTTTATTTACCAGAGGAGCAGAGGAAGGCAGATGCCCCTGGTGGGGAGTGGAGGCAGGGGCTCGTGTCTCCCACCCTCAGCCGGGCTTACCGAGGCCTCTTTAATTCTGTGCTTGGCCTCCGCTGGGCCTGCCCGAGGAACAGACTCCTTGCGGTGGGGGCTGAGAATGGCACTCCCGCCCTCATCACGCTGAACCCGATTTCTGCCCTAGCCCCAGGGCCGGAACCACCCTGGGGCTTCTGCCGCATCCCTGCAGGCGGGAGACCTCAGGGGTTTCCCGCAGGCTGGGAGACACGCTCGCGCTGACTTCAGAGGGAAGCGCGCTAGGCTGGGGTCTGAACACTTAGGAACCTGCAGGAGCTCTCAGGGTCCCCACTGGCTCCCTGGGACCGGGTGTCCCAGTCTACCGGGCTTGGCTGTGCCCGGCCGAGCATCTGCTGGGGCCCACGCTGCCGAGCTTCCGCAGGAGGGCGCATCCGCGCGCGGAGCTGGGCTAGTGCCCGGCGCTCCCCGGAAACGGGCCGCCGCGCGCTGCTTCCAGCCGCGGCCCCTCCCAGGCTCAAGTTACACACTCATCACCTGGGAGCACGGGATTCGTCCCCGCGCCGGGGCTTTGCGGCGGGAACCTCCCGGAGACTCTGGCAACGTCTGCAAATGCGAGGACTGGGTGTGCCTCTCCAGACCGCCGCTAGAACGTGGTTTTTTTTGTTGTTGTTGTTTTTTTTTTTTTACTATCAGTGGCCCGCCCACCAGCTGCGCGAGTCTCCGCCCGCGTCCGGCCCCTGCCCAAATGGGGCGGTGTTTATTATTGTACGAATTCAAGCTCGGATTTGCCTTCGAGTTTAGGAGAAGCGCCGCGGCGGCGCGCCCTTCAGGAGATGCCGGGGCGCGCGTGCTGGACTTCGGGTGCCGGGCAAACTCCAGCAAGGGCTCCGGGTGCGGAGGTGGAAGTGGGGGCGTGCCGAATGACACCCGTTTGTCCTTTGCTCCGGGTCTGTTAGAAGAGGGAGGCCGTACATCGAGCTGGATGCAAACTTGGTCTTGCCGGAGCGCGCAGCTCTGGAGAGGATGGGTGACCCCAGGGACTGCGAGACCCGCGGGTTGCATAAAGGCAGGCATTGGGGTTCTTTCCCGCCTCCGCGTTGCAAGGGATGCCCCTGTAAGAAGTGTCCCGCGCCTCCAGCATAGAGAGCCACCCTCAAGCCCTGGGCAGGGCGGGGCTGGGCCGGCCGGCCGGCCTCTGTTAGCGCCGCGGAGGGAGCCTGGAGGTGTCCTCCCAGGGCCAGGCGTGGGCTCCCTCAAGCCGAGCCTGCACCCAGACCGGTTTTTCGACTCCGATGGCCACTTTCTTTTCGGTATTTCAAACTTACCCGCTCTCTTGAGGTCTGTTCGGAACTTTCAAACACAGGAGTCACTTTCTGGGTTCCCCATTTTAGAGCGGGATTTTCCCTGCTTTTCCGTGTTTAAGGCGTACCTGAGCGATGGCGACCACGTGTCTCTTCTCTGTGACACCCTCCCCAGCTCCCCACACCACACCCCCCCTTCCCCCGCCGTAAGCCCCGCCCCTTCCCGGGGAGCGTGGTGGTGGGCCACCCCCACGCCCACCTGCAGTCCTCACCCCGCCTGCTTTGGCATCGCCGCACGTTTTACTCAATGAACCACTAATTCAGTTAGACCGAGTGGGTTTTTTTCTTTCTTTTAAAAAATATTCAGCAGAGATCATAAACAGGAACTAGTCACGCTAAGCCTCCCCCCACACCCCTCCTGGGTGGAGTGGGGGAAGACACCTCCTTCTGAATCGGCATCATTAAAGGGTCTTGATTCAAACCATGACGTGGCTAAATGTAAAACGAGAACAGGGGTGGGGGGTGCTTACACCCCATGTTGAGTGGGTGGGTGGAGGAGAACAAGCAGGCTTCCCAAATGCTTAATGTAATCACGGGCCAGCTGCGTGCACTTGTAAAGTTGTTATAACCCCCTCCTTGTTATAAACAGGAAAGCGCAGAATATAAAGCAAGAGCCCCGCATTCACAAACACCAGCTCCCCCGCGCCAGCTGCCAGACTCCCCTTTTATGGTGATCGCTTTCAACCAACTTCAGCCGCATCAGAAAGACCTTGGCTTATCCCCTGAGCTCTTCAACCGGTTTATTTTGAAACGTGAAGACCAGGTACCCCACACGCTCTCCAGCTCCCCACACCCGGTGCGTTGGCAGGAGAAGCTGGGCGCCTGGAGGCCTCTCCCCTGGGTTCCCAGGGAGCCCTGGAGGTCGAGGCTTGCCCCCTCCAGGACACTAGGCCCCTAAGGGGGCCGCCAGACTCCTGCGGATTTCCTGAGGATTTCCCCCAAGGACGGTTTTTCTGCCCAGACTCCCAAACTTCTTAGACACGCCTCTGCCCCCAGCCCCCAAATTTCTAAAAGCTTTCAAAGACCCCAGAAGACATTTTATGAGACTGTGCCCTATCCAAATCTTCTATCAATCGTGGGAGAAGAAAAGCCTTTAAGTGGGAGGCCGCGGATTACGGGGTTCCCCCAGGCCGGCGGTAAAACTCAGCCTTGCGCCCCCGCCCCAATCTGCACTTCTCCTTCCTGGCCCGCAGACCCCGCGCAGAGCCACCGCGGTCCACATCCTGCCTCGCTGACTGTGTGTGCTTACAGCGTCAAGGGGTGGACGTGATATTTCAAACATCAGATCAGTGCGTTTATATATTGGGTGCCCGGAAATTTTTCCAAATAAACACAGCTTGATTCAACTTGGGTGGGCGGACTTATCAACAGACTAATTCTATAAACAAATGAAGGAATAGCCCCGAAAGCGATTGGCTGGTATCAAAAAGACACGTGGAGGGAAAAGCTTGGAGTTTTTCAGCAATGAAATTTTAATTAATGTGGGTGGGCTGAGAACACAACGACTGTTTATCATAGACAATTTATTTTCCAGCGCTAAGTCAACATATAATAGCAAACTTACAACAATTATTTAACATTTTTAAAGCCATGAAGAAGGGACAGAGTGCTGAGCGGCCGGGCAGAGCAGCAGAGCGGGAGGCGGACGCTCGGCGGGCTCCCCGGGAGGGCCCTTGCGGCGCGGGGCGCAGCGCCGGCTCCCGCTCGCCATGAGCCACCTCTTCAGCCCGCGGCTGCCCGCTCTGGCCGCCTCGCCCATGCTCTACCTGTACGGCCCCGACAGACCCGGGCTACCTCTGGCCTTCGCCCCCGCGGCCGCCCTGGCCGCCTCGGGCCGGGCCGAGCTCCCGCAGAAGCCGCCCTACAGCTACATCGCGCTCATCGCCATGGCGATCCAGGACGCGCCCGAGCAGAGGGTCACGCTGAGCGGCATCTACCAGTTCATCATGGACCGCTTCCCCTTCTACCACGACAACCGGCAGGGCTGGCAGAACAGCATCCGCCACAACCTCTCGCTCAACGAGTGCTTCGTCAAGGTGCCGCGCGAGAAGGGGCGGCCGGGCAAGGGCAGCTACTGGACCCTGGACCCGCGCTGCCTGGATATGTTCGAGAACGGCAACTACCGGCGCCGGAAGAGAAAGCCCAAGCCGGGCCCCGCGGCCCCCGCGGCCCCCGAGGCCAAGCGGGCCCGAGCCGAGACGCCCGAGCGCGGCGCAGAGGGGCGGCCCGAGGCGGAGGGCGGGGCAGGGCGCCCCGGCCCCGGGACGCCCCGCCGCGAGGGAGCCCCCGCGCGCCCCTCGCCCCTCCGGGAGGGCTCCTCGCCGCCGGCGCCCCCCTACCGGCCCGGGCCCGCGTCCCCTGAGGACAGCGCGGGCGACGCAGTCCAGGGCGCGGCGGCCGTGGCCGACGACCAGCCAGCGCGCACGGTGGATGGCCCGCGGTCCTCCGCGCGCCCCGCCTCCCGCCGCTCCCCGAAGAGCTCCGACAAGTCCAGGAGCTTCAGCATAGACAGCATCCTGGCGGGGCGGCAGGGCCAGAAGCCGGCGGGAGCGGGTGAGCTCCTGGGGGGCGCCAAGCCGGGGCCCGGCGAGGGCGGGCCGGGCGCCTCGCTTCTGGCTGCAGCCTCCAGCCTGCGTCCCCCTTTCAACGCTTCCCTGATGCTCGACCCGCACGTCCAGGGCGGCTTTTACCAGCTCGGGATCCCCTTCCTCTCCTATTTCCCCCTGCAGCTGCCGGACGCGGTGCTGCACTTCCAGTAGAGCGAACCGGCGCGGGGCTTTCCCCTGAGGTCTGGGCTCGTGAGCGACCCCGGCTCCTCCACTGGGGCAAGGAGTCACTTTTTTTTTTTTAAAAAAAGGATCGTTTCCTCTGCCAACGTGTGGACCCTGGGAAGTGGTGCCGGCTTCTGTGCTCAGGTGGGAACGCTCGCCTGCCTGCTCCGTGGCGAGGCGGATTTTCCCAGAAGTGAGGCTTCGGAGACTTACACAGACCTTGTCCACGGGGACTTGGGCATCTCAGACCTCCTACCGCACAAGCAGCATTCCTTAACCTTAGGTCAACCTAGTGGCCTGCCATCTTCCCACCCACACAGGTCCTGTGTGTCCAGGGGGCTCGCCAGGGCCCAGAGAGCCCGAGGGCAGGGCCATGGGACGCATGTGGCTGTCTCAATCTGACAGCCACGGTACCACCGTAGCCAGCTCGGTGGTGGCTGTGGCCCAGGCCTTGGCTTTGAGCCCTTGGGGGTGATGAGTGTTCACGGTGAGGTTTGTCCCTGAAGTCTATTTTCCAGGTTCTTTGGGAGATCTAGGGCCTGATGAGGATTTGTGACCAAAGTCCAGGTGGAAGCGGAGAAAAAACACTTTTATTTTAAATAGAGAATTTTTCTTTTATTTTCTTCTAGACAGCAAAGGAGCATGCTATATACTCATGCTAAAGGCTTGGCGCTTTTCATTATAGCAATTGCCCTGTGGAAGTTCTATACTTAACAAACAACTTGTATTAAGAAAGCATAGTCTATACAGTCCAGCATCTTGTTGCATTATGATAGCTCATTAGTCAACACACATGTTCTTCAAGGCATGTTACAAACATTTCTGGACATCTTGTCTTTTGCTTTTGTTTTTAAGGAATCAAAGGATTTCAGGGACACCAGAAGTGTGTGAGGGGGAGAGAAGATATCTCAGACAATGGAAGATTTTTATTTGCATGTTTTTCAAGATCTAGGTTTAATTTTTTTTTTGGGGGGGGGGCTACATTTTCCAGAATTTTGTTGGGAAGATCTACTTTTTACTCAAAAAGCTGGGTGAAGCACACACACAAAAGCAGATAGAGAGCTGGGTTATGCCGGGCAAAATAAGGGAGTCTGCTGGTGTCTGCTGGAGGGCACCTCTCTGGACCCCAAAGGATACGAGGCTTAATGGGTGGATTCTACCAGACACCCCCAGCCTGCAGCCCTGGTCCTTCCTTCAGGCCCCTACCAGGCAGGCCTAGAGCCTGCAGCTAAACAAACACCTTACAGAGGTGACTGGAAGTCTGGCAGGGTGGGGGGCAGGAATTTAGGGTCTGCAAAAAAAGGTCTGGTTAAGAAAATGGAGGTTTCACAGCCCAGTTCTGCCTGGAACTTTAGGGAAATGCATCTAACCTCTTACGGAATCTCTTTGAGTTACCTTGGGTTCTGAAACTTGATTTCCTGAAACTCCAAGTTACTTTAATTTTATCTGATGTGGGAAAGGCACAAAAGTCTTGAGTTCTTGGAGATAAGCTGAGATAGGTCTTCAAAATAACTTTTAAAATAGTTTCCAGGACTTAACATAAAAATGAACACAAACTTTACATCAAGAGAGCCTGTTGGTTAAGATATTGGAAAGGACATTTTGGACAAGCATAAAAATCTAATAATTAGTAGGCACAGAGTTAACTTTCTGAGAATTCATTCTTTAAGCCATGTGCTACTGACCCATGAATATTTCCTGGTAGGGGAAACATTTTACCCAGGCTGGTGGGAACACACTGGTGAGCTGAAGAGCGTCCTTGATTTTAAGAACTTGGATGAGACCCCATTGTTGAGATCCAGACTCACCGTAAGAAACTTAAAACGTGGTGCCAGGGCTGTCTCTGGATATTTTGTTATCCCGAAGTCTCAGCCTCTGTGAATAAAGTTGTTTTTTCATTAACCTCTCAGTGCCTGGTTCAATGGATTACCGGGGGTGGTGGGGGTGGTTGGGAGTAAACAATGTAATAGAAGAGAGGAGACTGGGGTCATATTTGGGAACCCCATCAGCATCTCAGGGGTTCTGGCTTCTGAGGGTGGGTGTAAGTGCTGACTGTAGGGGCAGGAGCAGAGAAGCCCAGGCCCAGGGGATGCTGCCTGGAGGTCAGAAAATAAGCTGGAAAGTCTGCTATTCAGGATGCATTTTAATTTATTTATTTATTTCGTGTTGATTTGTAATCGTGCGTGTCCTGTTAATTTGTGATGGTTGTTTTCTGGAGATGCCAACAATCAAATACTACCATTTTAAAAGGATGGTATTTGAGAGTTACAATTCCAAAAAGTATAATATAAACATGATTTTTATGGCACAGAAAAAAAGGGCAGGAGCGTGTATCCACTTTGTAACGGTGTTTATATGTACAAAAGACAAATTCTGTACTGAACGCCCATGCTTACCGGGCTTAGAAAAGCTAAGAGAAATGGACAGTGGGTCATTTTCTATGAACTCTACACAATCCCATGTATATTCCTTCCTACTGAAGGAAGAGGGATTTGGGGGCTTAGTCCTCTAAATGGCTGCTCTGATGGCCCACATTTAATCAATGGCTCCAAATCATTGGTCAGTGAGACCAAGAAATGGTTTCTACTCTTAATTAAAATAAAATCTCAGCTGTCTTTAGGGTCAACCAAGAGTAGAAGTAGGGCCAACTTCTAGTCTTAGGCCATCTGAAGTTACAGCTCTGTGCTCTCGCCTGAACAGAGGGAACAGATTCTGTTTTCTGTAAATGATCTGTGGTTCAAGCCCTAATTACACACATACACATACACACGAGTACATTGATCATAATCGGGGTTATAGCAGGTGTATTTAAATAAATGTGTGTATATATATGTATACACACGTGTGCATATGTATGTGTATATATGGACACACACGTGTCTATATATGTTGTATACACACAAATGCGCAGAAATTCATCTTATGTGCGTATAAGTGGAAAAGACAAGACTCAGATTGAGTGCTGAATCCCTTCAAATTAACCCAAGCATTGATACTTTTGGAAAGATTTTATTGTTCTATCTAGCTCAAGCCAGGGATAATTAATTTTTGCATTAGCAGGGTGAATCTCACAAAGACTTCCTAAAAATCTTGGAGACACCACTTTGACACCTTTATATCCGCAACTTTTACAAGGACAAGACAACTTTGTAAAGGCCTTTGGCTTCGTCTGGCATTGGAGACGTGCTGGCTCTTGTAGAAGCTAATGGCCCCTGGGTCTCAGATGCCCCCTATGGTTTTCCAGAGCTTGAACAGGATGTGATTTGCCATTTTCAGATGTAATCGGGTCTGAGAAGCAGGCCATGTGTGGTCTCAACCATTTCACAAGGAGCGGCCAGTGTATATCCATGTGGGTTAAAGAACTAGCCACATGAGATGTTATTGTTACAGCTGAAAGCCGAGTCTGTCTGCCCAGACACGGGCAGGCTAATGTTAACATCCCCGAAGTGGGTGACGTTTCCAGTAACCAGCTGCACTCCAGCGAGAGCCACGACTTTGTGTACTTCCCATCTTCCCGGTGGCCGGAGTCCTGTTTTCATGAAACGGGGGTTGTTTCAAAGTCACACGTGACAGTAAGTAATGTTTATTAGTAAAAATAAAGAGCATGGGCTTGTTGGAAAAGTAAAATTCTTTTGATCCCCATTTAAGGCAGTTAAAAAAAATGCCTGAAGAGCCAAACGTAGGCTCTCTGCTATACTTGTCCTTGTCGTGAAGCCCCAACTTGGTGTTGTCCAGGTGAGGCCCGTAGCGTAGGCATACACAGTGACGCAGACTGGGGCAATAGGGAGCCGTGGGGCCTGGGCTGAACTGGGGTGGTGGGTCTGTCTCTTCCAGTGGCGTCCAAACGCCAACTGCACTGGGCGAACCCAATGTGCGGCTCAGGCCAGATGTGGATTTAAGCCCAGGGTCTACACCATGGTGGGCAGATGAGACTGTGTGCAAAATTCAGCTATCCCCAGAAAGGTGGCTGGGCGGGGCAGGTAGGAGGATCTGTCCTAAGTCCTGGGAGGTTTATAGTCGACTCCGTTGCCTTTATTTACCCTGGCAGCGAGGAGAGAGGACAAGGAGCTGGGCAAGTTTTGCTTCCAACCTCCTTTTTCCTTCAGGCATGAGAATCAGGGTTCTGTTAGGAAACAGAATCCCACTTAGATGGGCCAATGGGAAACACCAGGTGAAGGAACTATGTATGGGGAGTAGGCCAGGGGAAGGGGACCCCAGAGCTAGGGTGAGTGCAGCTACAGCCAGTATTGGCACAAGTGGGAGCTGAGGTGAAGCACCCAGCCTTTGTCCTCTCCCACTGTCCAGACTCACGTTGATACATCTGGCTGGCTGACCACACCTGCAGTCCAGCCTACAAGGGACCCCCACATAACACAGTCTGTAAGGGTCACCTGCAGGGGCACAGAGGGACTATGTATGCACCAGGACGGGGGCGGGTACACAACTTGGCCAACACCCTGGGGGGCCCCCTCTTCCTGGTCCAGTTGGCTGCAGCCACCCTGGCCACACCACTGATGTCTAGGAGCCAATAGCGGAAGTCTCAGACAATGCTGGTGGCCGCATCTGGCCTCGGGAGACCGGATTCTGCCATCTGCCAAGCTTCGAAGAGAGGTGGCTCTAGATCCTACTCCAACATCCTCTTATTTGGACAGGACCTGGGTCCAGACTAAGCTCCCAAGGGCCCTGCCGCAGGTATACAGCATCTGCCTTCACAGCGTTGAGCCTGACAAGGACTTGCTGATTGGACGGGGGCTGAGAAAGACTGTACGCTGTACGTGGATTTGTATCAGTTTGCTGAGCGTCTAAGACAAAGCTATCCCTTACGGGCTAATGTCCTGCACCTGGCTGGTGCTAGCTCATACCTCCAGGACATGTGGGCCGCTCATGGGGATGGTGTCCTCCAGCCCAAATCCAGAGGGACGGGGGCTCCAAGAGAAGTGGGCAGCACCCTGGGTCAGTGACAGCACCCATCGCCTGGGATGACACTAACTTTATAGCACGACTCAGGTCTTCACAATGTGCTATGAAAATGGTACACACAGCACATCTCTCCTGGCCCCACACATCTTTCCAGGTAGCTGGTCACCGTTACTGCTCCGTCCTTTCCCAGGCCTCTCCAGACACACGTACTGGTGGGAAAATCCCTCTCCTTAACGTCCCATTGACTCAGTACCTTCCAGTGGTTTGATGTGGGGGTGGGGGTGGGGAGGGGTACAGTCCCCAGTGAGGAGTGTGACCAGAGGCCCGAGACCCCGCTCCGTGCTTACCTGCCGTGACCCGTCTGTGGATCTCAGCTTTCTCATCTGTACAAGCGGGGAGAGTATTGAGGCTGCCTCCCCCAGCTGTCATGACAAGTAAACTGAATGGTGGGTGCCCATTGACGGGACAGCACCCACCCCGGTTCCCACCTCCAACACGGGGATGACCACAGGCTCCTGCAGGGGCCGCTGGCAGAGGTAAGGTAGCTAATACAGGTCAAGGACCTGGCGCGCAGAAAGAGCTCCCGAATGGGAGGTCTTTCCTCTGTGTACAGACATAGCCCCTAATCTAAACACTTTTGTTTTACGGTCCATTTGTGACTTCTTGGTTTTGCAAAAAGAATTACAAACCAGCAGCTCTGCCCACGTGGTTTAATTCTGGAGCTGACGGGAGACTCCCGGGGGCTGCCTCCTCTGGGTAGGCCAGGATCCATCTTCTCCTCTTCACAGCAGTGCTTCACCTCTTGAGATGATCCAACCATTTGAACATGAAACTTAAAGCAAAATAAGCGGCTGGGCACGGCAGGGGAGCCCAGGAAGACCGCAGGAGCACCGACTTTCACGGGCGAGGAGCGCGAAGCCGCTTCGCTGTTTCCTCGCTTTGCCCAGGGCCGGCGGGGTGGCCGTCATTGACTCCAGGGCCCCGGGAATGAATAAAACGCTTTATTTCTCCCTGGGCACCAAGACCATGCCCGTAGGCTCCTGCAGGCTCCACCCCGTCCTGGGGAGAAAGACGCCAGATGGGGAGCAATGTTTCTTAAGCGGTGTGTTTCCTGGCCTGCTTTATCAAACGTAAGGAACATTTCTTTAAATGTTGCGGCTAAATATAGCTGGGGCTTGGTCAGCTAGAACATTTTTAGAAAGCACATTACAAATCAGGAATGTTTTGGAGAAATAAATAAACTTTCCCACATTTTTGGACTTGGCCTCGGCGCTGCGGGCTCCGTCTTGAGAGGGGGCCGGGGGTGATGCATAATTCATGCCCCCTGCTGCAGGTGCCCCAGGGACACTGGAGGGGACTTTTTCCCCCTCGCTGGGCGGGAGTCCATAGGACAGGGACGGAGGCCCTGTCAGGTCAAGGAGGGCCAGAGTCTGATGGGGGGCCCCTGGCGGCCTTAGCGAGCGGGGATTGAAGAGAAATTAATCTGCTTCCACTGCGCTTCATTTCTCGCCTTTGCTGTTCATTCTGGGAGTTCGCTGGACTGCGGCAGATGACAGGCCCCAGAGGGTGCTGGCCACCCCGCCTGCGCCCTGTCCCCCGTTCGGGGGCCTAAGAGGGGACCCACGGGGTGCTTCCCAGTGGTGCCCAGGCAGGTCCCTCACAGCGGTGAGCCGCATCTGCTCACCTATTCTTCCTGTCAGCCTGCATCTGTGCTTAATTCCCGTGCGATCAGAGTGGACTCCAAGCGTCTCCCCATGGCCCCAACGGTCCTTCCTTTACTTTGGGTTGAGCTGCCCGCCCCTAAAACACCCACGGAGAAGTTACATGTGTTCCCGCCGGAAATGCAGAACACGTAGGGAAGTACTGGTGACAGAACGAGCCTGCCCACCGTGAGCCCCTGTGATGGTCCTGCCTCTAACAGATTACGGCGGGTACTTCCCGTGTATTGTGGCATTTCCCCCGGACTATACAGACTAGATACA